GCCAGCACTGCACTGTAGGTCGTTGAGGGTTTAGAAACCCTAGAACAGGCGTTTAGGGTTTTGGGCTTTAGGGTTTTAGGGTAAGGATTTAGGGTTTAGGGTTTAGTGTTTCAAGTATCCATAAACCCACAAACCGAGCCAAGGGCTTGGCTTTTTCCAAGGTCTGTTGTGTTAGGATGCCCTAGACCCTAAAGCCTGGACTCTTTTCAAGCTGGGCGTGGTGGCGGCCGTAGATCCGACAGACACAACCCTAGACCCGAAACCTCCCTAAATCCCCTGAAACCCAAACCGGGTAAACCCTAAACCCCCTGACACCCTGGAACATAAACACCCTAAACCCCAAACCACCTCAAAACTGAACCCTAAACCACCTCAACCCTAGACCCCCCTAAACCCTGGTTGGGACCCATTAGGGTTTAAAGGGATTTTCTGGATCCTTCTCGGGGTCTGCGTTCGCCTTGAGCACCGTAGGGCTCAGGGATTTGGCTGGGCTGCGGCCAAGAAACTTCAACGCAGGGTCTTAGGGCTTCGAGCTTATAGGGTTTAAGGTTTAGGGTTTAAGGCTCGAGAAGACCAGCTAGGAACCCACGAAAGGAGCCACAGGCCCAAGTATTCCCGAAGCCCTTTTCAGGGCTTAAGGATTCGTTGAAGGGTTTGGGGGGTTACGGATTCCTTTAAAGGGTTTAGGGCTTACGTTATCCGACCCAACACTGCATCCCTAAATTCTGAGCGCAAGAAAGCAGCCAAATCCTCAATCTACGAATTAGGGTTTATGGTTACGGTTCAGTTTTTAGGGCTTATTTCATACCTAGAAACCCTGAATTCCCAAAGCGCCACCGTCGAAAACCGCAAGCCCCCAACCCCTCAGCCCCCAAAAAAATCATGAGACAGAAAGCCCTGCCGGAAACGCCACTTCCCCCTGAGGATCCGAAGTGGGCCTCTTTTGAGTTGGGGTTCCCCCTCCATGGCGGCCTGTAGAATAAGGAACCTACTGCATGAAAGTCATGCATGCGGGTTTAGGGTTTAGGTTTGCCCCAAACACTAAACCATGAAGCCTTAAACCGTTAAGGTTTTTGGAGGCCCTAAACCCCTTAACCTTAAAACCTTTCCATCCGAAGAACCTGGCACGGCGCGTCTGCTCCAAAATCTCAAGGGCTCGTGGGAAGCCCTCGTCATCCTCGGATGTGGCTTATCTTTCTATGAGTGTCATTAAGAATACTAGCATCGTTGTGAAGACGGCGATTAACATTGTGACCATTGTTACCATTAGAATTGCTACCATTATAATATAGGGGCCTTAATAATTAGACTGAAGTTTTGGGGCCCATTGTACTACACTTATAATAAGGAAACTCCAAAATACCATTGGGAATTACTTAAGCCCCTTTACTAACTGTTACGATTACTACGATTGCCATTATTGCTGAACCCTAAACCCTAAACCCCTTTTTCAGCGCAGGCTTGGGGTGTATGCCGGCAAGCTGGAATCTAAGGTCTTCTCAAGACACCAGCAAACTTGAAACTCAACTCATGTATAGCATTCGACCCTAAACTCCTAAAACCCTAAACCCTTTTGCATCTGGTTTGCAGCGACTCAACCAGGACAGAAACCCTAAACCCTACACCCCTAAACCCTAAACCTAGTATAAGGAACTTAGCAGCTTGGGGTTTTCGGTGTGCATGCATAGCACCCCTGAGATCAGCTTTTGAGTTTCAGACGTAAGTTTTTCAACTTTCAGCCTTCAGGACTTAAGCTTAAGAGTTTTCAGACTTCAGGACTTAAGCTTTAGAGTTTTCAGGCTTCAAGACTTAAGCTCTAGGGCTTAAGGCTTCGGCTTAGGGTGAGTCTTAGCGATTGGGGTTCGGGCCTAGGACTTACGACTTGAAAACTTGATTGCCTTACCCCTTTCAGGCCCTATCACAGTCAACCCTAAACCCTGCACATAGACCCTAAGGCCCTAAGGCCCCGACATGCCCCTAAAATCCGTAAAAAAGCACCAAGCTTTATGAAACCTGCCGAGGTCCACCGCGTCTTTCGCAGGGCTTCAGGGCTGTAGACCGGTGTAGGGTTGGTTTCTGGCGTTCAGCAGTATTGGGTTTAGGGTTTAGGGCTTAGGGTTTAGATTCGAGCACTTAATGTTTCGGGGTATTATTGGAAGCGGAACCCGAAAGCCTGAAACCAACGCCCTACATTCCAAACCCCCACGAAACCACGCGAAAACCTAAACCCCAAAAGAAATGCACCTAAAGCCGGATAAACCGCAACCCAAACACCTCCAAAGCCTCAACCCTGAAGTTGTATACTTAACCTTCAGCCTGAAAGCTCTCTAAGACCGAATGCCGTCCGGCGGCACGCGACCGCAGCAGATGCTCGTAGACGAACCGGCGTTGCCCTAGTTTAGGGCTTAGGGGTTTAGGCTTTAGGGTTTGGCTTAGGGCTTTTCGGGGTCTTTCGGGTATGAATATAAAGGCTTTGGGTTACAAACCCTAAACCATAAATCCTAAACCATAAGCGCTTTATCTTAAACCCTAAACCTTGAACCCTAAACCCTAAACTCTCTCAGGTTTAAGGGTCTTTGGGATTTGGCGTGGAAGGAGAGCAGGGCCTGCAGAATTTGGCAGCTTTGGCTTACGGCCCCAATCCCTATCACTCCTGACAGTCGTGTGGCGGTTAGGGTTCAGGGTTTAGGGTTTAGGGTTTAGGGTTTAGGGTTCAGGGGTGTCGGAGGCCATGCCATGGATTGCAAGTTGAAGGCTCAAGAAACAAGTCCCTTACGCCTTACGCCCCTTCGCAGCACCCGGGCAGTGGCCATGTACCTCTTTTGATCCTAAGTCTCCCCATTCAAAAGCCGGAAGTCTACTTGCTCTCTCATCCGGGGCCTTCGAACAGCCTCCAGCGCCAGGTATCGCGGAAAAATACAAAACTGGCCTATGGGGGTTTCCAAAATTGGGGGACCCTAACATAGTAGCCTAAATAATAGGCTCCTTATAATAAGGGCCCCCAAGATAATGCACCCCAATTTTCGGAAAGCCCCATGTAGTGGCAGGCGTAGAAGGCGAGCAGCAGCAGGAAGAGTCGCCGTAGTTGCGCTGATTGTGTGATCTACAACAGACGAACCACCGCCTCTCATAACGTCGGGGCCTTCAGAATTGGAATAGGGTTTCGGGGTTTCCTTATTGGAATTACAGTATAATATGCCCCAGACCCCATTCTAATTATTAAGGCCCGTATGGTACGTGACGACGGTCAGGTATCGCCACCCTCGCCATCACACCCAAAACTCAAACCCTCTTGAGCAGGGTTTAGGGTTTAGGGTTTAGGGTTTAGGGTTTAGGGTTTAGGGTTTAGGGTTTAGGGTTTAGGGTTTAGAGGCTGCAACCCTGAAAGCTGAACGCAAAGCCTCAACCCCAAACCCTACGCCCGGAAGACCCATTCCTGCATTTTGGTCCTCAATTATGACCCTAACTCTTCACTCTACGTCCTTGTATTCAGGACTCCTAAACCATAACCCCTGAACCCTAAACCCGATAACCCTAAACCCGAAACCCTAAACCCTAAACCCCTAAACCTCTAAACCCCTAAAACCCTAAAACCCCTAAACCCTAAACCCCCATGAACCCCTGCTTCCAGGGGGCGGTTACGGATCGGGGGCGCAGGCTGCGCGGCCCGCAGGGCCACGGCGTCCATGGCACCATGGGAGGCGAGTTGCCCAGGGCTCAATGAAGGCTTGCAGGCCCCCCGTTTGGGCTTGACCCGAAGCCTTATTTAGGGTTTCGGGTTTAGGGTTTAGGGTTTAAGGTCTACCGTTTAGGGTTTAGGGTTTCGGGTTTAGGGCTTTGGGTTTAAGGTTGAGGGTTTAACCTTTAAGGTTTAGGGTAGAGGGTTTGTAAGGGCTTTTTGACACTTACACTCGGACAAGCCTGGCAAGGTCTGTAGCGATACTGGTCCAACAAGGGTTTAGGGCTCAAGGTTTAGAGTCACGGGGTTGGGTTGCCTGACGCTGGCAAAGTCTTGGGGTAATTTAGCACACACGGCTATCTTACCAGTAACCCGACCGTGACCACCAACATAAGCACGGTGTTTTTGCCTTATTGCGGGTTTACTGAGTTCAGCCCAAAGTTAGACGCCCAAGCTTAAGTTGCAGAGTCAAGATGTAAAGGTTGGAGTTAAGGGCTTCTGGTTTCGGCTCTGCTGAGGTTGGGTTTAGGGTTTTTTTGTTTAAGGGTTTAGGGTTTAGGGTTTAGGGTTTAGGGTTCCGGGTTCCGGCTTTAGCGCGGGCTCTTACCCTACACCCTCATGGGCCATGGGCAGACCCGATAAAAACCTCAGCTGTGGTCCTGTTTCTGTAGCCCAGTCGAGTCGCACCTTTACGTCTGCATAACCCATATAGCTACAGTGTGGCAGTGTGTATATCATGATCAGAGCCTTCAACAGCTGAAGGAGCCCGCCACAACATTCAATCTGGGCAACGCACCCGCACTTGACAAAGGATGCCAAAACCCGTATCAAGCATTAAATTTATCTCAGGGAACGATCAAGACCGGGCCCAAGACAATGCGTCCCCATTCCTCTGATGCCGCACTCCACTCAGCTCTAACTCTGTATCCTGAGCTCCCAACCCCTACAGCTTTGAAGCAACCATGAACCCTAACCCTAAACCCTCTAAAGCCAATATTTCGCCCACAGCCCGACCACTGAACTCGGCTCATGGGCCATCAAGGCTTAACATGATTCAATTTAGGGTTCAGGGTTTAGGGTTTCGGGATTCCACAAAAGCCCAACACCCTGAACCACAAAACGGCAGAGCCTCAAGCCGTGACAAGTCTGTCCGAACTGAAAAACGCCTTCGACGGCCCCGCCACCTCTCTGGCTTCAACCCCATCAGCACGCTGCAAAGGTGGGTGTATGGACAAACAGGAATCTGAAGCCCGTAAACACAGGCCTGCCCAAAAGCACGGGCGAGGGGGCGGCGGAACAGTTGGTGGACGGAGCCTGAGTATACATCTTGGCGAAGTGTCTTTTTCATATACAGTGTCAGGAATCTAGGGGAGAAGGTTTAGGATCTAGGTTGTTTCACTGCTCAGTGTCGTTACAGTTCACATCCAGGGCTCTAATCACAAATCTTTCTGTGCCAAGGAACTTCTATTGTAACGGGGATTGGCCCTCCGAATAAGGCTTAGGGTGTGGTTCTGGTAGGTTTACACTCACACGTAGCCTGCCGTTGCCAGGCTCGAGCCCCGGCCCTAAGCCCTAAACCCCGAAGCCTAAAGGTGTTGTTTCATAGGGTTTCAGAACATAGGGGTTTGCAGGGTTTATGGGGTTTAATGGGGTTGTCTGGGGGTTTCATCTAACTTCCCGAGTAGGGGCCACAAGACGGCAGGGCCGCTGATAAAAAAAAAAAAACGCAGCCAGTCCTACCCGAAGCATCCACAGGCTTCACCAAACCTCAAAAGCCTAACTCCCTGACCCCAGAAGTCTAAAGCCTGAAACCCTAAACCCTAGACCCTATGCCTGTAACCTTTCCGACTTTCTTGAGTTGAGCCTTCACGTCGTCCTGAAGGCTTCTATGCCCCGGGCTTCGAAAGCCGTAGGCCGCTGAGTATAGTAGGACTTTTGGTTGTAGAAATTGTATAGGGTGTGGGTCCTTGAGTCTTGACTGGGCTGGGCTGTGCTGGGCTGGGCTGGGGGCTGGGCTGGCTGGGATTGGGGGCCAGGGCAGCCCCGGGATGGGGGCGGCTGGGGGTTCTCAATGTTTTGTTTTTTATTATTTCAATTTCTTATCTTGTTAAACCGTCAGAATTATTTCCAAATGATATATTAAATCTTCAAGGTGGATGTAAACTTGTACTTAAATCCAAATAATCTTTTGCTGTTGGAACTCGTTATGATGGATTGTCTTCTTTTTTTGTCTCCTACTTGGAGAGGACGGGCAGGGTTTTTGGCGGTTTAGGATTTTTGACACTGTCAGAACCTGGGTTTAAGAGTTCATGGGACCAGAAATCCAAAGCATTAGAATGCACGAGCGATAGTCCTCATGCTGCTTTCCTTCCAGCAGAGACGACCCAAAGCCTTCTGCGGTTTAGGAGCACCGCACTCAACAGCCGAATGATGCAACAGTGCTGCGCGGTCACACATGTCACGATGCTCAACATAACCCAGACTCTTACCGAAGACCAAAATTCACGGTGCGCCGGGCACCCGGCAGGACTGGATGACCGCTCAAAGTTATTTCGGACGAAAGAAGATGCAGGGCACTTTGCCTGGGGGGCGGATGCTTTCTGAACTGCGTTTCGGCTTGCTGCACTTCTCGATTTGTGCGTTATGCCTTTGGGTCCGGGTGCTTCCGGGTTACAGCTCGGGATAGTGCGATTCTTCTGGCTGGAATGCCGACTGTTCTAGGGGTTAGCGAAGGTGCTGCGAGCTACTTGCACATGAAAATCACAGTAAGCTTTACAAGTTCTGCACGGGAGATATTGATATATTATAAAAGTCTGAATAATCGGTCGGTAACAAATAATCAAGACCCCAAAACCACCCTAAACTCTCAACCCTGTTCCAACCGTGAAGACCCCCATGTTATCAGTTTGGGGATTCGGCCTTTGGCTGCTCACCCCAAACGCGGCCCAACCCTTAACTCTAATTCACGAAAGTTGAGGGTTTAGGGTTTAGTGTTTGTGGTTTAGGGTACCTTCGGGAACTAAAGGTTAACCTTTGGGATTGTGTAGGGATTAGAGTACCCCCAAAAAGGTCGATCTACTACTAAGCCACCAAGCATTTATATCACCCTAAGCCGAATCCAAACCTTTGAACCCCAAGCCCAACCTGGGCAGTAATGCCTTCACTCGAGCCGTTCCCAAACCGTAGACCCCAAGCCCCGAACACTCCTCAAATCGCTGACCCCGAGGCGCAAAATGTCACAACGGAAAATCACACACACACACACACACACACTCTCGCTCTCGCTCTCTCTCTCTCTCTCTCTCCCACTCAACCGATATAGTTGTTAGGTTCCCAGTTCTGTTTCTCGCGGGACACTCTTTGTGCCTTAACCCGAACCTCTCAACCCCAAACTCCTAGACCAACCCTGGATCCTTGAAGCCTTGCAGTCTTTATTGGCCCAAGGGTCGCAGCACCTCTCGAAATACTCGATGCAATATTTCAACGGCCGGGGGAGCCAGGAATCCTGTGCCGGAGGTTTAGGGTACTAAACACCAAAGGTTTTACTGTAAGGGCGCTGAACCCTAAACCCTAAACCCTAAAGGGTTGTCCCTAAACCCTGAACCCTAGACCCTAAAGGGTTGTTCCTAAACACTAAACCCCAAACCCCAAAGGGTTGTCCCTAAACCCTAAACCCTAGACTCTAGACCCTGAAGGGCTGTCCTTAAACACTAAACCCCAAACCACAAAGGGTTGCCCCTAAACCCTAAACCCTAAAGGGTTGTCCCTCAACCCTCAACCCTACAGGGTTCCCTGAACCCTAAACCCTTAAGGGTTTAAGGCGAGTTTGGTGTCTGAAGAAGCCTAAAGCTCCAGGGCTTTTGAGGCTTCTTCGGTTTCGGGAAGACACGACTTCTAATGCAGGGGCCTTAACAAGTAGAGTAAGGTTTTGGGGGCTCCTTATTACAGCTATGGTATAATATACCCCAAACCCTATTCTACGAAGCCCCTATGTTACATATCCCCGGGCTGTGCTAGCACCGACAATCTGAGGTTTGGGGTTTAGGTTTTGGGGCTTAAGCACACTTCTGGTAAAGCTTCATGGATGGGCTCATGGGCAAGATTTTCCTTCTTGACCAGGTAACCACGACACCCCCCACCCTTTTCAAGCCCCTGACACACCCAATATGAAATATTGTCGTTAATGACTCTTTGCGTTTATATTGCGCAGAAGGGAACAACATTCATGAGAAGATCCCAGCCCTAAACCCCTAAATCCTAAACCATAAACCCTAAACTCTAGACCCCAGACCCTAAACCCTAAACCCTAAACCCCCAAACCCCATAAGCAAAGCTTTTGAATCCTCGTCGGCGCCCGAAATGTTCACCCAACTCCTTGGCTCGGGTAAGGAAGGCTGAGGGGGTTCAAGATGTTCAAGGAGTTAAGGTAGGGGCCTTAATGATTCGAATAGGGTTTTGGGGGTCCCTTATTATGATTATTGTATAATATACGCCTGTTCAAGGATGTTCCAGGAGTGAGACACTTGTTGAATTCAAACGGTGTACTATAGGGCCTTTATAGTTACCTATACTGTTTTGGGTGTTCCTTTAAAGGGTTCCTTAAATGGTTCTATGAGGGTTTAGGGTTTAAGGGCCTTCATAATTAGAATAAGGTCTTTCTGTATATTATACTATAATTTTAGTAAGGAGCCCCCAAATAGTATTAGTAAGTATTTAGGTCCCTAGATTAAGCTTCAGTGCATTTGGATCGTTTAAGCTTTAGTGCTTGAGGACGGGTCGGCGGCCTGCTGGTACCTCCATATTTCATCCAAGTTACAGTCGCGTTGCTACCGGCGGAGGGTATAGACATGCTACCACTGGACAGCAAGCCCTCCACGGAGCATTTCAAGCTTGCTTGGAACACGTCCGCAGGATTCCCCTAGAAACCGAAGAAGGTCCAGGAAACTGCCTCCCCAAAAGGATCGCAGAGTGCGTTGAATGCCAAGTCGATCTTTTGGACTCTGGTTGGC